CACAGATAATATGCAATCCCAAAGGTTCTTGTCTCTTGAAATTAAAAGCCAAATAACTCACATCCTTTGGGGTCAGAAGCAGATGAACTGAGTTAAGGAGAGAGGATTATAAGACTAGATAAGAAGCCAGAGAGTTATACTTGTCAAATTAAAATAGCTAGTTTTAATCTTTGGGTTAAATATATACATACCTTAAAGGAGCCTGAATCAATGGATCTTCAAGGCGCTCAATAGAAATGCAGACCACCAGGCCTAGACCTACTGAATCTGAATCTGGATTTGGACAAGAGCTGCAGGTGATCTGTAGGTTCGTTCAAATGTTAGAAGCACTGCTGGATATTAGACTTGACCCAGCACATCCTCATTTCTATCTTTCGTTATCAATGGCCAAATATTGCAATTTAAATATGGGACACAAGACAAGTATGAATAAATATATGGATACAATAGGACAGTGTACTTGGAAAAAAGATTGTCCCTTTGTAGCTAGAGAAAGACCACCAAGAACTATCCAAGTGATTCCATAGTGAAGTAGAAAGTAAGATTTAGTCTGAAGTGAATTTGCGTACCAGAAAGCTGATAAAATCTAAGAAGATAGGGAAGCAAGTTTGATCCTTGGAACCAAACAATTTGTAGGACTAAATGTCTGGAATCATTTCAATATTAGGAATAGGGCAATTAGGATGGTGTCTTACTCCAGTTGGGGTTGCTAGAACAGACCGTGTTAGGCTGGAAAATGTACAAAGAACAGAGATTCATTTTGTACAGTTCTGAAGGTTAGGAAGGCCAAGCTCCAGGAAATACAACTGACAAGAGTGCTCTTACTTTGCCATCACAGTAAGAACACATCACAGGCTGAGAGGTCGCATAAGAGAGAGTGGGAGGGGCACAATAGCTCCTTCATGAGGAACCCACTCCTGCAATATCAACATTATTCATTTCTGAGGACACAGAGAGAGAGAGTCCTTGGACTCAAAGGCCCTATCTCTCAGCATTGGTGCACTCAGAAGTAGTCTGTGAGCTGGGGACTTTGGTGAACACACTCAATCCAGGGCAGATTAGGTTAAGAATAACAAACCACCATTCCTAACCTGCAGTTGCCCCTTCATTCTTTGAAATGGATGGTCCTGTGCTTGGCTTTGGTGGCGTTTGGTAACGTTTTGCAAGGGGTGTCTTAGAGTGAGTTAGAATATCTACGATTGGAATTTTCATGTCACCACAGGAAGCAATGAAGTGGCCTTTGATTTGTTACAGTTTCAAGACCAAATCCAAAAGTCTTCTCTAGTAAGAACACTCGAAACCATTTCTCGTCTAACATTTTGCTGCTGATAAACCAAGAAGGGACTTTCTTCTGAGCAGTGTTGAAGGAGTTGAGCCTCTTACTTCTCAACCCTGTGAGTAAGAATAACTGATTCATTCCTAAGGCCACGCTCAAGCTCATGAAGCACAGCTTTTAAAACTCACCAGCAAAGTCAGAGCAGAAAGAAGACTTCCTGTTTAAATGCTTTCTCTTTCTCACTCAGTTTGATAGAAAAAAATTTAATCTATTTTCGCCTTTTACAAAGGACAATGCAGGTGCGAACAGAGTGCTGAGTGGCCATGTCCTTTGCTTGATGGCATCACTAGCAGACCTGGCGCATGGGGATGAGTGTCTGAAACGAGGTCAGGATGAGAGAGGAGGCGACAGGAGCCTCGGGGGGGGGGGGGCAAGCATCTATGCCACAGCCTTCTTCAAAATAATTCCCTTTTGTATTATGTGCTAACCAGAAAGTACCAGCTGCCAGATGTTAGCCACCATCCCACTCCTTCCCACGGGAGAGTCACATGTATTGGTAACCATTTCCTTGGCTCCATTCTGAGAAGGCATTTACTGGAAGAGTTTGTATTCTAGGGAGCAGAAAAAGCGCATTTTTGCCTCAAGACAGAGCATATATCAGGCCTTCTCTAGCTACGCATTCAGCCAAATAAGCCAGTGTTTACTAAGCAGCGAGCATGGATTGCTCCCGGGATAAGAAAAAAACAATCATGCAAGATCTCACCTGGTCTGCAAGGCCGGAGTGTTGGGTGGGCAAGAAAGGTAATAGGATACACAAGCTTGAGGGAAAAGTAATAGCAAAACAGTAGCAAATAAAAGCTAAGAGTCCTAAGAATAAAAGGATGAACTGTAGCTGCGTTGCATTTAAATACAGCTCAGTAGAAATGGAGCAGGGAGGAGCTGTCAAGAGACTTGTGAGCCAGAGGTTCCAAGGCTAAGAGCGTGAACTATGTATGGACAGCGTCACAGCATTCAGGACTGGCAGAGGAGATGACTGGGGTGGGCTGGGAAGAGCCAGTAAACTGAGGGAGAAGAGCACAACTGGATCCCAGTGAGAACAATGGCTCTAGTACAGGTGTCTCTTTCATGCTCAGCTTCCTGTATACTATGGTATAAAGTCTCCTAGAGCAGGGGCTCTCAACGTGTGGTGGTTGTGACCCCTTTTGGCAAACCTCTATCTCCAAAAAATATTTCCATTACAATTCATAACAGTAGCAAAATGACAATTATGAAGTGGCAACAAAAATAATTTTATGGTTGGGGGTGCTAACCACAGCATGAGGGACTATGTTAAAGGGTCACAGCATCAGGAAGGTTGAGGACCACTGCTATAAAGAAAGGGAAGAACTATTCTGAAGAATGGCAAGACCATTGTGGTGCCCAGTATCAATTGTATGGTATAGGATTTTCCTCCTATTTCTGTCTTTTGTTTTGTTGGGTGGTTTTCCTTTTATTCAAAGATTTTAGGAGAGTTTATTTTCATATAAAGATGGGTCAGTAGCTTCAAAATCAAATGTATCACCACAATGGGATGACCTTCACAGAGAAAGAAGCAATCAAAGTAGTTTAGTCTCTGAATCACAACAGCTGATGCTCCAGTAATCTGAACTTCATAAAGCTGGTCCCCACTTAGAACCTTGCCCCTTCTTCTCAGAGCCATTTTGAGTCTATTCTGCTTTCCTCTGACCTCTCACCCAGCATCTGCTACCCAGACACTGAGACTTGGGCCTCTGAAAAACAGCACAACTGAAATCACGGATACTTTCACGGCGTCTACCTTGCGCACCTAGACACTTAAGTTTCTGGCACCCACTCCTTCCTCCACCCCTTCTCTCATCTCAGAATATGGGTCAATCTTCTTGCTTAAGGCCATTTTCCCCTTCCCCAGTTTATGAGCCATCATTTTCTTTTGTTATTATAGTCTTCCTGCAACCCTTTTTAGCCTTTAGATTTGACACATAGTCCTCTACTAAAAATTCCAAATTCAAAATGCAACACAGGAAGAAACACACATAAACACACACCTCTGCAATCTTCCTCCTTTCTCCTCTAGTCAGTGTCCTTCCTCTCCTTCTCTTCAAAGTCACCGAGTTTCAGAAGGGACCATCTCTGATGGGTGTCTCCATTTCTTTAATTCCGATTAGTCCTCAAAATGGCCCAAGGCTCTTGGTTAGAAGAAGCTTCCCTTAGGATGGCAATGACTTCCCCATTTCCAAACCCAAATAAAACCTTGTTTTCTCATCTACTGTATTTGACACCAATGCCTTCTCTCTGCCCCTTGAAACTCTTGATTCTCTTATTTTCCTGCTGCCTGGTTTTTCTCCTGTTCTCATGCTAACCATATTGGAATACCAATTATTATCAGTTTCCAAAAGCTCCTATAATATCCTATGCTGAGCAGGGCTCCCTTAACATTTTAGATCTCACAAAACCATTTGGTTTTTGTTTTGTTTTTTAAAAAACAACTAGCATTTTAGGTGTTTGCCCACTCCTATTGAGCAAAATGGCCATAGACAGAAACAGATATATTAGTTCATATCCATAGTACCCTTTGCAGACTGCAATGCCTACAGGCATGCAGTTAATTTGTTGAACTGCCTTGGAATAAGTGTCAAAGACAAATTAGACTTATTATCAGCAACAATATATTCAGAATTTCTTTTGCAAACACACATGTTCTTTTTATTAAAGGTCTGTGATCTAGAGGTGTGGCCAGATTTTCAGACTGACCTACGGTGAGCAAAGCTGGCAATTGAGCTTTCCCTGTAAGTGGGCCACATTCAAACACTAGCAAGGTCTTCTGTAATGTGCTTTTTAAAACCATTCAGTTCACCATACTGTTGAGGTCTTCTACTGAACTGGCCTTATGCTTGTTTATGAATGTGTAGGTTCTCACTGAACAGAATGTGATACTCAATTATGCCACCATTTCAACTCCTAGGCAGTTTTTTTCCCTATCATGAAATTCCTTGACTGGGGGGATTCTGTGTTTATATTCTGCTATCTTTTATGTATTTATAGCAATAGTTGTCATCATCTAAGCCCAAGTTATACCCATTTCTTCCAGGCTTTTATAAACAATTCTGGCATTCTGGAATCCTGTGAGCCTGCACTACAATAATTCACATAGGAAAGTTGGTATGCTGCCAGCATACGGAATCCCTACTCCAATATTCCTTAGATTGTTATAACATCAGCCTATGCATGCTATCCGGGCATTTGACACCAAACTCTCTCACTTCCCTGCTTTATCCTTGTTTACATTTTGTGGCTGTAACTTTGGGTGCTGTTTCTTAACTGGAAGCCTTGTTTTGTAGAGTTACAATCCTAAGGAATGCTCTTGGAATGTATGTCTTTTCTTGCCCCTTACCTTGTGTACTTCATCTTATCCCCTGGGAGAAACTGAACTTCAGGGATGGTCATAGGTTTGTGCTTTGCCTTCAAATAGCTACTCATTGGTGGTAGGTCCACATCACAAGGGGAAGACCATGTAGGACCTATGAACAGGGCACCAGTTCACTGAATATTTGAGAATATGTGATTTGGGTTCATGTGAGGTCATAGAGTATGGTAGAGAACACTCGAATAGACTTTAGAAGGTTTTATTGCTATTTCATAGTAAGCCTCTGAATGAGCAATTCCATTCTGTTGCCCTGATATCTTTGATTGTCTCAAGGTCTACTAGTACTTATTTGGGTTCCTGGTTCAAGAGGCTCCTCCAGAGCTGAGAAGCTAACTTACTACTGTCATTTCATGCTCTGCCATCCTTTTAAGACAGTTTCTCAAGCCACTCGGTTTTCCAGGAGAAGATGCTTAAGTCCAAAAATGTCACTTCCAAAAGTTCTCTAATAAGGGCTCACTCTGCCTCTGTTTTAATTGAGCACAGCAACATTAGGAAAGGAGACAACTAAGAGAGTGCTTGCTCAGGTCGCTGAGGCTCTTCAGGTCTTGACTACATAAATACATTATGTGCACAGTGTTTGAGGACTTCCTGATATTTGAAAATTTGGGACGATTACCGCCATTCGATTGGAGTCAGGCCCTTTAGAAGCAGTTCTATGAACATGGTGACCTCCAGACATTCCTATCCAACTCCCCTTCCGGTATATCACTATCAAAGGACATGGCCAAGGGTTTTGTCAGTGTTCACAGGGTCAAGTTCACCTGCACATCCATTGTCTAGTGCAGAGGTCAGAAACTTGTTTCGCAAAAAGCTGGATAACAGTATCACGAATATTTTCAGCTCTGCAGATCATACAGTCTGTGTTGTGACCACTCCATTTATAGTGGTAGGCAAAAGCAAACAATACATGAAAAAAAGTAAGCTTGCTATGTTTCAGCAATACTTTATTTATATGAGCAGGTCAGGAACCAGATTTCACCAAGGACTATAGTTGGTTTATCCCTGGTCTATCTCTACTTGCCACCAGCTGGAACTGTTTATCTGGCACTTCCTTCAGGGCACCTGATTGATGGAAATGTCTTTGATCCCTTTGTGGGATGTCCTTTTTGTTTGTATAAGCTTGCATGGCCAGATCATTATCAGTGACATCCATGGGAGGATTAGGACACAATGTTCCAGAAGACAATTAAGGTCAAGGAGTATCATGGCCCCATATATCAACTGACATTTCATTTTGTGTGCCAACAAATATACTGCTGCTCTTAATCATGGTTTGCCAAGGGCATTCACTCAGAAGGCAAGCTTTTAGGAGAGTAGGGCATTACAATTCTTCCTAAACTGACTGCATTATTGGTCTGAATTTCAGCAGTGACGTAAGGAGTTTCCGTTCCAGATGGTCACCATATGTCCTACTATACATGTGTTAATAGCCTATGTTAGAGGTAGAAAATGTTCCTACATTCACACTCTCTGTCTCCTTTCTGTCTATGGTCTACCTTAGTTGTCCAGACCCTCAGATTTCTAAGGTTTCTGAACACCACTATTGAGAGCAATTCAGAGAATAGGAGAGAAGATATAGGCCAGAAGAACGGAACAGTATATGTTTTGGAGTCGGGGCTCAGCTACAGACTTTAGACTCTCTATATGAGACACAAGAATGCTAATGCCGACATCTACCTAGGGGACAGTTGGGAGAATGCTGAGGCATGGACAGTATAATGGGACTTGCTAAAGGGCATTTGGGTGTCACTGTTTCTTCATCAGATGACAGGCTTACAGTCTCCATTCTTCCAACTGTCATTGTTCAAAAGGTTTCCTAACTACCACACGATGAAGTTGGGAAAGGCCTTTGGCTGAGGCACAGCTACTCTCTGTCAAATGTCTTAACACAAACGTTGATTCTCCTTTCAATGAAGGCGGAAATGGAGCGTTGTTTCTGTCCGCAGCATTTGCCAGGCTTCAGTGTCTTCAGAAGTGCTCTGCCATTGCTTCACACGGCAGCCCTTTCCAAAGAGAACAAAATAGATAATTGCTTCTGTTTTTCAGATAGGAAAACCAAGAGAAAGAGCCACTAAACAAGTAATCAGAAATCATCCGGTGCTTTACTAAAGAACTAAAATCCTGGTCCCTTGACTCTGACCTAGGTCATTCCAGGTGTTACATACATTTCCATTCACTAAAACATAGATCTGCTAGTATTTTTCCTGTTCTACTTTATATTAAAAAATACTTGGAACATAATTCAGAATACTACATCAGACCCTTCCTATAGCATGGGTTGCTTATAGCATGGATTGTTTATTGCTGGCATCATATCTAGTATAGTAGCTTTCTTTTACAATAAATACCTGAAGTAAATATAAAAAGTTATATTGACTCACAGTTTTGAAATGTCCAATCTGTGATCAATTTGTCTTTTGAGGTCTGTAGCAAAGAAACATCTTCAGTTGATTGTGTGGCAGGAAAAATCTGCTCATCTTAAGGGGGTCTGAAAGGGAATAGGAGAGAGGAAGATCAGGACCAAACAGTCCCCTTCAAAAACGCATTCTCAGTGGTCTAAAGATCTCAGCAGGCCCTAGAGTTCTTACCACCTCCCCAAAGTACCAGTGGGACCAAACCTTTAATACATGATCCTTTGTGGGAACATAAGATTTAAATGATGGCACCCTTTTAATATGTGAACCTCTAGGGAAAAGTTAAAGTCCAAAAGTAGCACCCAGAGACTCAGCTTAATCCATAAGAGGCCAATAAAGGTCTTGGGGACGGAGAAGAAGACTAGTATTTTTGTTCATAACACTAGAGTAGATGCTTAGATGATTCAGAATTTATCTCTTCTTTTTCTTTTGAAAAGAGACAATGGTGAAAAGCACGGTCTTAGTTCAGTTCTGTGCTTTTTCTAGGCATCTGGGTTTTTTCTAGACCTGAGACAATATATACTATGTTGTACAAGGCAACTTGACAGTGGGTTCCACTGCTCACAAGTCTTTATGATGATGCAATGTCTCTCTACTTTCCAAACTAAAGCTACTTTATTCAGAACTAGAAAAACAACACATCCTGTCTGGTGGCCAAACTAAGTATGGTGGTAAGGAGGCCATAGCGCTCCAAGAGGACTGTGGTCTGCACAGCCCACTGACGTCAACTAACATGCACCAATTGTAGGCTAGGTCGTGTTACATTTTAATCGTGTAAGAGTGAGTCTCTTAGAACATCACTACAAGAGGACTCAGACACTAGGAACTAATCCACTGTAGATAGATGACAGACAGGCAGACAGGAGAGAGACAGACAAACAGATAGATGGTAGATAGATAGATAGATAGATAGATAGATATGATAGACAGATAGATAGAATTATTATCTTATTTTACAAATACCATTATTTTATTTAAAAAAACTATTAAATATTCAATTTATAGGGAAAATCAATTCACAAGACTTAAATGCAAATCATCACAAAGCACATAAGAAAAAGATTTCTCCTCATCCTTCCACAGTCTCTCTCTACATACTAGGTAACATTTCATCATTTCTATGATGTCATCAATTTTGAGATTCATCATTATTTTGTATGCCACCAAGAAGAAAATACTATGGATAGTTATCTTTCTAGGATAGTTATCTTTCTATAGTTCCATACAATGGAAGATATCCCACATCACATCTGCAGAAATGTAAAAAATGTATAGCATAGAATCCTCCCCTAATTTTTTAGACATATGTAAATAAATATGAGTATAAATGCCAATTTTACTCCCTAAAAACAGAAAAAAGAACATAATTGTCTCTTGCTTTTTTTCATTTTAAAGTATATTTCTATATCGTACATGGAGATCTCCCTCACTTATTTTTATAGAGACTGAAAAGATACGTTGTAATTTATTTAGCCAGCCTTCTCTTGGGTTTTTCTCAATCTTAAACTATTTCTAATCCTGTTGCAATGAATAGCATCATGTGTACATTGTTTCAAAAGAAGGCAACTATTTCTACAGTCAAAATCCTAAAATTAAATATCTGGGCAAAATAGAACAAACACTTGCAATTTTGATGACTTTTGACAAATTTTGTACCCTGAGGTGTCATACAAAATATATGCTCCCACAATTAAGGTACAAGTGTCGTGGTGGTGGCGCAGGCCTTTAATCCCAGCACTTGGGAGGCAGAGGCAGGCGATTTCTGTGAGTTTGAGGTCAGCCTGGTCTACAAGAGCTAGTCCCAGGACAGGCTCCAAAGCCACAGAGAAACGTTGTCTCAAAAAAAAGAAAAGAAAAGAAAGAAAGAAAAAGAAAAAAGATAGAAGTGTGCTTATGTTTTCTTCTTTTGCCAATAGATAGTGAGCTGGTTTGCAAATTTGATAGGTAAAAATAGATGGCAGACATATTGGCGCATTTAGCTTACGTTTCTCACATGAGTTCAGTTGAGCATCATTTTCGGCACGAGAAACCCTGTCTCGAAAAACAAAACAAAAAACAAACAAAAATCTACTGTGATTTTTATGTAGCTAAATTTACCAAGCCTTTCTTTTGTTGGTTCTGAGCTTCAAGTCATACTTAGAAAGGCCCACTCACTCCAAAGTAATACAGGAACTTTCCTGTGTTCTTCTCTAATAATTTTAAAGATTAAAATCATTTGGCATTTGAATTTTGGATCAAATTTTAATGTCTTTTTTTTATTTCATGATATGGTGACTAGATCGGCTTCTGTTTTATCCAGATGGCTAACCAGTTGTCTCAACACACTCATCAGGCCAGAATTTCCCATACTATTTTGAGATGGTACCTTCAAAATCAAATTCCTATATTCATGGTTTTCCACCTTCATTCATTTCATTTGATTCATGAATCTTATCATTTAAATATCCACAGCTATGACTAAGTCTTTGTCCCCTTCCAGTTTGTATATTGACACCTTAACCCACACTGTGATGGGGCAATTAGCAAGGCTTCTTGTAGGCTTATTCAACTTAGATGAGGTCTTCCTCACTATAGGATTGCTGTCTTGATGAGTAATTGAGAAATATCAGCTCTTTCTCTCCCAGTGAGACCACAAGAAGTCCTGCTAATGCTAACATACAGGCAGAGAGCAGCCATCTACAAACCAGGCAGAGGATCCTGTCAAAAACCTGAACCTATCAGTTCCTTGACCTTGGATAGCTTTGCTTCCAGAACTGTGAGAAAATCTGTTAAGCCACTCTGCCCACAGCATTTTGTTCTAAGTGCTGACACAGATCTACTCATAATTTTTGAGGAAAATATCATTTAAAAGATATGCAAACTAGAGTTACTCTTAAGAACTGGCTACCCTTAGAGTCCCCATCTGGAAACACACCTTTGGTGCAATGTATTCTGTTTTATATACTATGTTTTCTAAGGTTGAAGAATTATTTTAAACTCAATAATGGTCTACAAGGAGCACTCGGTGACATAGTATGGCTGTTGGTTGACAGAATACTCATTCTGATCATTGGAACTGTTATTTGCTTTTTTTGTATAAAATTGAACTAAGGGTACTTTCTTGAGACTTGTTATTTGTGTGAGGCCCTTATACCACATAACCTTACAGAGGGCTGTCAATGCCTCTTAGCAACAATGGCCACTGTTCACACATCATCTCCTATACTCCCCTGCTTTCCTTCTGCAGACCGAGTCCGAGCTTCCTCTGCTCAAGTTGTCTTTCACATAAAATTTTCTCCCTGTTGCTTTGTAGAACCCCACGTTTCCTCTCACACCCTTACCTCCTGCCGGAGATGGATAGTTGCTTTGACCTTACACTCATAAGAATTTGCTCATTTCCAAGCCACTTCCTCCTCACTCTTTCCGTAGCCAGCACTGTGGTCCAAAGCAGTAGCTCCCTTCTGAATACCCCTCAGACCTAAGTCAGCTTCTTGCTTTGAGTCTTTCCTGATCTAATCTGGTATCCATGAGTCTGATGTGGATGTTTTCAAAGCACCAGTCTGCTCATGTGGCTGTGTTTCTCTAAAACCTTTGTAAGACCTCTCCTTGTTCAAAAATGACTAACATATTTAACATGGCTTGTAGGGCCTGCATGACCTTGTCTCTGGCAAGCTGTTTACTCCCCTCTCACACTATACTTACTGTTTGCTTCCTTTGCTTCAGCCTCATGGGTTCCTTTCTTCTACAAAAACATGGTTTGCATGTTCTTTTCTCTGCTTTGAATATGCTTCCTTTTTGCTTGTGCTTTTACACAGATTCGGCTACAGATCTCAGTTAAAGAATCACTTTATCATTGCTTCCAGTTATTGCTGGCCTAATGCTACATCCTTTCCTTTATGGTACTTCTATCAATTTGTGATTATGCATTAATTTGTACTATTATTTGATTAATATCTGATTCCTATAAACACCGTAAGAGCAGAGATCATGTAGTTTGGTTTATCTCTTTCTGTCCGTTTCTAGCAAGGTATCCAATCCAGTACAAATTAAGATGCCATAAAATATTGAGTTTTTAAAATCCATAGTTATTTCCACCCAAACATCTTAAATTGTCATTGAAAATCTACTTATTTATCACTGGCTTTGATAGTCCAAATACACACAGCAGAAAACACATAAGAGGAAAAAACAATCAGTTCATCTGCTAAAAATGATGCTGGCAGCTTCCTTCTGCATGTGATCAACAGGCCTACTCATAGGCCAGAAACTCTAACTCAATATGTTTTGTACCCATATGATTCCCCGAACAGGACATGTGCCAGGCTAAAGATTTCCAAAGTTTTTGGTACTTTGTTTTAAACACCAAACAACTCAAAGGTCTCCCTACTTTCTTATCATCTCCTCCTCAAAAACTACCATTTAGTATAGAGCCATAGAGCATCTAAGATATCAAACATACCATCTCATGTATGTGAGTGTATGCATGTGTAAGTGTGTGTTAATTTTGTGGCATATTCATATGTATGGATGGATATGTTCAACCATGTCCACACATGCAGAAACCAAAGGAGTTTTGCTGGGTGTCACTTCTGTGTATTAGTTACTTTTCTATTGCTGTGATAAAACACTATGACCAAGGCAACTTATAAAAGAAAGAGTTGAACTGGGCTTACCATTCCAGAGGACTAGAGTCCATGATGGTGGGGCCAGGGCATGGGGGGAGGTTGATGAAGCAGCAGCTGAGAGCTCACATCTTGACCTACAAGTGGGAAGCAGACAGCAAACTCAAACTGGCTTGAGTATTTTGAAACCTCAAAGCCCACTCCAGTGACACACTACTTCCTTCAGTAAGGCTTTGTTGTATTCCTTTACACTGTATGAATATATGTCATTGTGATTGGTTTAGTAAAGAAGCTGACTGGCCAATAGCTGAACAGAAGAAGGTTAGGCAGGAGAGCCAGACTAGGAGAATACTGTGAGGAAGAAGGGCAGAGTCTAGAGTCACCAGCTAGATGCAGAGGGAGCAGGAGATGAATGTGCCATTCTAATAAGGTACCACCATGTGGCAGAACGTAAGTAATGAATACAGGTTAACTTAAAATGTAAGGGCTAGTTAATAAGCCTGAACTATTGGACAAGCATTTATAATTAATATAAGCCTAGGAGTGTTTATTTGTGAGTGAATTAGGGACAGGAAAACTGCCTACAAGGCTTCAATTCCTAATCCTCCCCAAACACCCACCAACTGGAGGCCAAGTATTCAAATATACGAACCCATATATAGCAACCACTCTCATTCAAACTAGCATATGCTGCCCACCTCTACCTTGTTCTCTTGGGACAAAGTCTCTCACTGAACCTGGAACTAGACTTGCTGGCAGGAAGTTCAAATGATTCCCCTGTCTTTGCCCACCCCCAGCTTTTTCCATGGGTTTTAGTTAGTATCGTGGAGTCAGGTCCTCATGCTTACAGGTCAGGCATTCTTCCTCACTGAGCTGTCTCTCCAGCTTCAAGCATACATCATTTCATAAACTTTTAAGAACCTGGATCCTACCACTTGAAACAATAAATCTTAAGTAAAAGCTATGGAGTTTATCATATTCAACACATGGAAAATTTGAGCACAGATTAAATCAGAGTTTGATGTGTCTGTCCAGTAGCACATAGAAGTCACGACAGAACATTACTTCCATTTAAGGTATGACAATCCTCTATCGTCTCCTTTGGTCTCTTGGACCCTTAGCTAGGTGAGCTGGATGCCATGTTACGAGGACATTCAAACAGACCTGTACAATGAAGTCCATATTGTGAAGAACTTAGTTAGCCCTGGCCAACTTGCACCTACTTTGTCAATCATGTGAGTATATCCAATTGGAAGGGTACAATCACAGTTGACACATAAGTGAAATCTCATGTGAGAAGCTAAGTCACAAAACATCTGACTGGGCCACTCCTTAATCCCCAGCCTATAGAAACCGTGAAAGAAGCACAGTAATACCCGGTGTCCCTGCAAGCCAGTAAGCTTTAGAGTCACGGGTTACGTAAGCCATTGACGAATTGGACAAGCTTGGGCAGGCACTCTCACCTCTTCTCTGTTAGTTTTCCTCTCTAGAACAGAAATAATCACAGTTCTTTCTTCATGGACTTGCTTCCAGCACTCAGAAGTGGGCTTGGCACATGAGGAGGACTACAAAATAGTTATTATTACTATTTTCCTTATAGTTTTGATTATATTGCATTGATTTAATTCCCTTTCCAGACCAAATTTCTTTTTTTCAGATAAAATTTCCCCATGGGAGCATTTTCACATCACCTGCCACTGCCACTCCAGACCCCAGCACCTTCCAGAACACAGTAGAAGAATCATGGGCTTGTCTTTGCGAAGTTGCCTCTAAAGGTGCATAGGCAATTTGGAGTTAAGATACCTGAGTCACAAGGAAACAGGGCTGAGACTATTTGTAGTTCAAAGAAGGGATCAATGGAAATTATCCCATTTAGGACTCAGGAACAGTAAGAGTTAAACATGATGAAACGTGTAAAGAGCTCAGCACTATAAAGCATCCAGTAAATGCTGGCCACTGGACTTGTCGAAAAAGTCTCAGTGAATACAGTCTTCCATTTTCTGGTGTCTTGATGCCAGAGGATTTCAATGATTCTCAAGCTTTTCTGCCTCATTTGCAGAAAGAACGAAAGCATGCTCTCGTACATTTATGCGCGCGCTGGCACACACACACACACACACACACACACACACACACACACACACACAC